CCTTTGCCATAGATCAGGCATCTTCCTCTGACTCTTCCATCAGTTTGTAAATGTTAGCATCTCTTTCAACTTATATTTCCTCCTGAAAAAGAAAGCTCCTGGGCTAGACCTTGGGAAAGCCCTCACTGATTTCATCTACCTTCTTGACCTCAGACTATACTGGACTATGAGCACCTACTGTGTGTCAGGCTTTATGCCCAACACTGGAAATACAGATGAGTAAGGTCAGGTCCTGTTGGTTGTGGAACTTGCTACTCAAATCTTTGGCTTCTCTTTTGGAGCCCTGTATTGCCTGCTTTCCCAAGAGTGGCAGTACTCTAAAGAGGCTGGATAGTGATAAAGCCAAGTCTGGGGCTTCCATGGTTGTAGGTCTGGAGAGGTGGGAATCAGTCCTGAGCTCTGACACCTCCTTTCTTTCCTCCAAACAGGTTTCCCTTGCAGCTGGAGAGTGGACAAACTGTGGAGTGCACAGTGGCACAGTATTTCAAGCAGAAATATAACCTTCAGCTCAAGTATCCCCACCTGCCCTGCTTGCAAGTTGGCCAGGAACAAAAGCATACCTACCTGCCCCTAGAGGTGAGGCTGCCAAGTAATGGTTGGGCTGGGAAACAAGCATTGTATCTGCACACTGATCATCAGAGGTCTGCTTTCTATTTGTAATCTCTCATCTTCATTTTGAAGTTTGGGAAATTGACATTCTGAGAGATATGAGGTCATTCTGTGAAATGTAGGCCTCATTCTTACCTGCTAAATTGTTTTCTTATTTCCAATACTGCTCTCATGTTTTTAGGGCTGCCAGGCAGAGGTGAAAGCTGTATTTACTGTCTAGTAAGTGATTAATTAGTTTGTTCAGGACAGAGATTTCAAATACCCACATTCATGTCCTCTTAATTTCTCTTTCCCTGTCTTCTGAAGTTCAGGATGTGAAAAAACCTAGAGATACAAGTGTACCTTATTTTATAGAAAATGAAGATGAATGTTATTACCTACTAGTATAACATGAATCCTATTTTCCTAATGATCAATGTGTTCTTTTTAAAAAAGTTTTAGACCCAAGATTTGTTATATTTTTATGTTTCAACAGATGTTTAAAATCCTGCAATTAAAGACAGTAGTAATATTTCTTAAGTTATAGAATACAAATATGGAACTATAGGGCTGCATTTGGTTAGATAGACAACAGACAAAATGTCTACGGAGAAACTACTGCTGACTGCTTCATTGTCTAGTCCATTGCTACTTAAAGTGTGGCCAATGGACCAACAACATGGGTACTATACAGGAGCTCATTTGAAATACAGATTCTCAGGTTCCACCAGACCTATTGAATCAGAATCTGTCTTTTAACAGAATCCAAAGAGGATTCATATGAACATTAAAGTTGGAGAAGCACTAACTTAGGCTATTGTCTTACTTTGTTCCAGCAGCAGGAGTCAAATAGGACCAAAGCTCAAGCCTTCTGTGAGCCTCTGGGATTTCAGAGCTAACTAGAGGGAATTGGGCTGAAGAGAGAAGAGATCCCAAAACCCAAGAACTTTGACTTAGTTAATAGGTGCTGATGCACAGAAAGTGGGATGAAGGCAATATTTTCTCTGAGATATAAACAGAAGTCTTTAGGGATGATCTCAGCTAAGTAGATAGGCTTTAGATAATATCTACTACCAGTTGAGATTTGTTAGCAAATTGACATTACTTCTGTTTTGTTTTGTTTTTAAATCCTCACCTGAGGATATGTTTATTGATGAGAAAGAGGGAGTAAAGAGAGAAAACATTTCTCAGTTGTCTCCCATACACCCCAAACCAGGGATCAAACCTGCAGCTAGGTATGTGCCCTGACCTGGAATCAAACCCACAACCTTTTTGGTATATGAGACAATGCTCCAACCTACTGAGCCACCCAGCTGGGCAATATTACTTCTGTTTAAACAATACTTTCCAAGGTGAATAATTTATACACTGACTTATATTTCGACATTTACTATTGTTTATTTAACAAATATTTATTGGGCTCCTATTATGTGTCATATACTCTTTTAGGTGCCAGAATGGTAAGTGCTATAAGAATAATAAAACAGATTGAGGGGATAGAAGTAAGGGTGGAGGAGTTAGGAGAGCCACTTTAGTTATTGTGGTCAGGGAAGGCCTCTTAGGAGACATTTGAGCTGAGTCCCAAGTTATGAGATAGAATCAACCTTGTAACAGCCTGAGGAAAGAGCCTTCTAGGCATGAGGTAAATAGCAAGTACAAAGGCTCTATCTAAACCAGCAGGAAGCTTGGGTCTTTTTAAGAGATAGACAGAGGCCATAGTGGCTGGCATGTAGTATATGAGGGAAAAAGTAGTAGGAGATGATTTTAGGGAGAGGTTGAGGGTCAAGTCATGTAGGCTATATAGCCTGGTGGGATTTTTTTTTTTAAAGAATAGCTTTATCAAGATATAATTCACATACCATAAAATTCACTCTCTTAAAATGTACAAGTCAGTGGTTTTTTAGTATTTTCACCGTTATGTAATCATCACCACTAGCTGACACTAAAATATTTTTACCATCCCCAGAAGAAAGTCCATAACTATTATAGTCATTATTCCTTTGCCCCCACACTTTCCCTTCCACCCCTAGTAATCACTAATCTCTTCTGTCTCTGTGACTTTGTCTATTTTGGATATTTCATATAAATCAAATTATATAATACTAGAGGCCCGGTGCCTCTAGTATTATGGGGGTGGGAGTCCCTCAGCCTGGCCTGCACCCTCTTGCAATCCGGAACCCCTGCCTGACCTGCAGGGATCGGGCCTAAACCGGCAGTTGGACATCCCCCGAGGGATGTAGCAATACGCCAATCGGCAGGTGGCAAGGGAGGAGCCCGAGCCCGAGCCGGGCCAGCTGCACAGCACCGCTCGCACTCCTCCTGGCCCGCTTGCCACCATTGGAGAGCTACTTTACTACCTTATGAATCCAGTTTGTGCATATTGAGTTTTTTAGTGTTCAGAAGAGCTCTATACTGGGAGGTTTGGTAAATAAGTTATCCTGCAATTTATTGAGTTTATAGTGTTCTAGAATGGTACTCAGTCCTTTAAGTGCTTTATTTTATTTAATCTCCAAACAACCCTATGAGATTGTTACTGTTCTCCCCATTTAACATATGAGACTGAGCCCAGATCTGGTGCTGGATCCTTAGCTCTCTTTTTTCTTTTTTAATATTCAGAGAGGAAAGGAGAGAGAAAGAGAAACATCAATAATGAGAGAGAATCATTGATCGGCTGCCTCCTGCACACCACCTCCTACTGGGGATGGAGTCCGTAATCTGGGCATATGCCCCAACTGGGAATCGAACCATAATGTCCAGCTTCATAGGCCAACACTCATTCACTGACCCATACCAGGTTGGATCCTTAGCTCTTAATCACAAAATGGCTATTTTGTCTTTGGTATTGCACATGGATATTTTCCAACTTACCTGTATGCCCAAAGAATTTTGCAGTCCTCTTCCCAAGGCTGACAGCCAAGGTCTCTTCTCTTACTGTGGGACTCAGTATAGGATGGACTGAACTCAAGCCAGAACTAACTGTCTTCCTTGTTTCCTCAGGTCTGTAACATTGTGGCTGGGCAGCGCTGCATTAAGAAGCTGACCGACAATCAGACTTCGACCATGATAAAGGCTACAGCTAGGTCGGCCCCAGACAGACAGGAGGAGATCAGCCGCCTGGTCAGTGGGGCTGCAGAGAAACATGTGCTCGATTGCTCAGTCACTGGGGCCCCTGGTAGCATAGATGCTTTTCTGCCTTGGCAGGACTCTCGGGAGGACACACGTCTAGATTTGTTGCCTGGGACTCCATAGGACTGCTCTTGCTTCTTGACCCTGTAGCTACTTTGCTTCCTATTTCTCTTTCCCTTTTATCTTACTTCCCTATGTTATCCCCTCCCACTTTCATCATCTTCCACTTTCCCTCCTTTTTTAGGGCTATTTCTCGCCAGTCTCAGCTGCCCAGGGCATTCTACTTGGGACCCAGAGGGTGAGCATTATTGCCAAGCTGCTACTCTCCTGAGATCCCCTTCTTTTGTCTTGTAGATGAAGAATGCCAGCTACAACTTAGATCCCTACATCCAGGAATTTGGGATCAAAGTGAAGGATGACATGACGGAGGTGACAGGACGAGTGCTGCCGGCGCCCATCTTGCAGTATGGCGGCCGGGTGAGCAGGGTCAGGGCCAGACAACATCTCTGGGGCATTTTGGGAGGAGGTTGGGTTGTATAGCCAGGGGCTTTTGTTCCCCTACCCACCTGGCTTTACTGAGGCTCACCTGGGCGCCCCCTTTGCCTATCTCCAGAACCGGGCCATTGCCACACCCAATCAGGGTGTCTGGGACATGCGAGGGAAGCAGTTCTACAATGGGATTGAGATCAAAGTCTGGGCCATCGCCTGCTTCGCACCCCAAAAGCAGTGTCGAGAAGAGGTGCTCAAGTAAGGAGGACTGGGTGTATGGATAGCAGGGTGGGGAAAGGACCCTACAGTTGCCTATTTCCCTTATCCCTATGAGGCCAAGATTTGATCTATAGTATGCTCTTGCTTGGTGGTTCTCAACCTTCCTAATGCTGCATCCCTCTTATACAGTTCCTCATGTTGTGGTGACCCCCAATTTCATTGTTACAAATTGAACATAATTAAAGCATAGTGATTAATTAGAAAAACAATATGTAATTATATATGTGTTTTCCGATGGTCTTAGGCGACCCCTGTGAAAGGGTCGTTCGACCCCCAAAGGGGTCGCGACCCACAGGTTGAGAATCGCTGCTCTTGCTGATTCTTGACTCTGCTTCCTTGTGCTATCTGGCTCAAACTTCTATCTGTTCCTTTTCTGCCAATCTATGGTCAGAAGTTTTGGTAAGGAGCCCTATCTGTTCAGAGATGATTATTTCAAGGCATGAACCTCCTAAGACAGGTCTGAATTATTTTATTGTTACAATTATTAACATGGTAATAAATAATAGTAATGACTATAATGTTTATGCCAACATTTTACGTTTTTTAATTTCATCTTCATAGTGAGCAGGTGGTGGTATTTCCATTTTCAGGAAACTGAGGCTCAGAGAGGTTAAGTATCTTGTACAGTTTGCATATCAAGAAAAGTGTCAGAGTTCACAGCAAATCAGATCTGAGGCTTCAAAGCTTTCTTTCCTAATTGGAAACAAAAAAGAGTAGCTTATTCATCTGATCCTCTGAGGTGTCCTCTCCTGTGCACAAAATGTATTAGGTCCAAGTAACCTGAATTAGGTGAACATGAGTTGTAAAGGTCTCTGCATGAATAGACAGCAATGACAAAAGTGATACAGCCAAGTGGTTTAAAGAAACAAGTAAGGGGAGTAAGTCTTGAGTGAGTGAATGAGTAAAGTGGAAGAAATCAATGACTCTTCCCCTGCAGTCTTTTTTTAAAGACAACTTATTAGGATGTATTTCAAATATCACAAAAGTCACTCATTTAAAGTGTAAAATTTGGTATTTCTTGCCGTTTTTGAAGTGGTAGTTTCTTAATTCTATGGATCTGGGATGGGGTCAGTGTACTCCAAGGCTGAGGAAGAGTTGGAATTGACCACTTTGGACAGGTATGAGAATAATAGAGATATGTGCCGTGGTGGAATCAGCTGGCCTTGGGGTTTTCATAAGAATTATTTAAAGCAGCCCCTGATGAATGTGGGGACTCCAGCTGCCCTGCTCTCCCTTCTCCTTTTTCCCCTCACAGGTACCCAACTACTACCAATACAATTATAGTTTCTTTTTAGCCCCATTTAAGCCAGGCTTCTTCTAGCCTTGGCTTAGCATTGGAGGGCTGGCTGGTCCTTAGCAATATTAGAAAGGCTCCCAGCTCTCTGCCTTCATGCCTTTGTGTCATCTTGTTGATAGCTTTATTCTCCATGTGCTTCTCTGTTATTCCCATGTCTTTCCCTTGTCCCATTATTTTGACATTCAGTCCATAGGGTCAACCCTTAGAATTTTTCTTTCAGTTAAAGAAGTCCTATACTTCAGCCATATATCACTTTTAGCATAGGATTTCAAGACCTTCCCCATTCTAAACTTCTAACATTTTGTGGCCAGCAGCACTGAACATAATATCCCAAATGATCTGGTAGTAGGGAGAAGATTGGGACTACCACTTTTCTTGAAGTAAAGGCACACTATTAATGGAATCTACTAACACATTGGTTATTTTAGTTGCAGTTGGTTATTGCAATTTTAGTTATTGCAGTTGTATATAATGGAAGAGAAATGGAAAAAATACTGTTAATAGTTCATCAGAGCCCTGGCTCTTATTTACATGAAAAAATGGTTAGGTTATATTTCTTTATTCTAAGATTTATTTTGAAATATTAAAATATATATAGAATTATATGGCAGACACCCATGTATTCATCATCCCAAGTTTTATCTTTTTTTTAAAGTAGATAAAATATTATAGGTAAATTTTAGATTTCCTTTATATCCTCCAACCTGGTCCCATTCCTCCCTTCTGATGCAGCTACTCTCATGAATTATTGTAATCTTTCTATCCAATTTATACATTTTAAATACCTATATGATATAAATTATTTTATCTTTTTTTAAAATATATTTTTATTGATCTCAGAGAGGAAGGGAAAGGGAGATAGAGATAGAAACATCAAAGATGAGAGAGAACCATCGATCGGCTGCCTCCTGCACGCCCCCCACTGAGGATCAAGCCCACAACCCGAGCACATGCCCCCGACTGGAATCAAACCCGGGACCCTCCAGTCCGCAGGCCAACGCTCTATCCACTGAGCAAAACCAGCCAGGGTGATATAAATGATTTTAAATTTTACATAGCAGTATTATACAGTATTTGTCTTTCTTTTTTTAACTAAATATGTGAAAAATACTTATTTTCTCACTATATAGGTTTTTTAATCATATTGACATTTATACATTATATAATAGCATCCTCTAAACGAGGGGTGGGGAACCTTTTTCCTGCGAAGAGCATTTGGATATTTATAACAACATTCACGGTCCAGCCAATTGATGTTTAGCAACTTAAAAATTAGCCCTCTTTGTTCAAATTAAAATAAGGTTCCAAAAGCCCTGGCCAGTGTGGCTCAGTTGGTTGGGCGTCGTCCCATACACCGAAAAGTTGCCACTTAAAATTAGCAACTTAAAAATTAGCCTGCTCTATTTGGTCAAACATCTCACCTTAATGCCTTGACAGAGCCACACCAAATTATTTCGCAGGCCTTATACGGCCCACCCCTGCTCTAAACAATTTGCTTTTTTCTCTATTTGTACCTTATTACTTTTGATCTAAATGCAGGAGTCTCACAAATTAAATTTCCTGCTGTTCATTTCAGTCTGTAATTATATTTATGTAGCTTTTTATTTTTTTTTATTGCTCCAGTCAACAAAAGAGAAACTTTATTGAGGCCCCAGCATCATAGGGTTCAGGTAGAAGGCTGCCCTGTAGACCCAAGAAGTTGGTGGAGGGGCCTTATTCAACTTTCTTCTTGGGGCGCAGGTTGTTGGTGTGACCGCACTTCTTCTTGCGGCAGTTGACAACACGGGGGTGCAGGCGGGCATAACACTTGCGGCAGATCATCTTGTCGCAGTTGTACTTTTGCATGAGCTGGCGAAGGGAGGGTTCGATGATGCCACCCTTCAGACGAAGAACCAAGTGCAGGGTGGACTCTTTCTGAATATTTTAGTCTGAGAGAGTGCGGCCATCCTCTAGCTGTTTGCCCGCAAAAATCAGATGCTGATGGTCAGGTGGGATGCCCTCCTTGTCTTGGATTTTAGCTTTGACATTCTCAATGGTGTCACTGGGCTCAATCTCAAGGGTGATGGACTTGCCAGTCAAGGTCTTCACAAAGATCTGCATCTCTGCATCTGCTGGGGAGACTGTTCCTCTGCCTCATTTGTAGCTTAATTTTTAAAATCTATTGCATGTGTAACCTTTCTTCCAGCTTTACCTCCCTTTCCCAGGGTAAAGCCCTAAAACCAAAGGAAAGAGGCTTGTTTAATCTTTCTCAACCACAAAGAACAGGAGGGGAAGAGATAGCTCATTTTTACTGAGCATCCTCCTATGTTCCAATCACTATTGAAACCTTATTATATGTATTTTTAAATATATTTTAACTAGTGACCCGGTGCACAGATTCATGCATTGAAAGAAAATTAATTAGAAGGTGCCCAGTGGGGCAGAACTGGGCGAGATGGGCCAGACAAACCCCAGAGCCAACCTCCCGCGGTCCCTCCCTGGTGTCTGCGTAGTGAGCGGGGGCCCTCCAGCAGGTGGGGTCCCTCGGCCTGGCCTGTGAGGATCGGGTGAAACCGGCTCTCCAACATCCCCCGAGGGGTCCTGGTGTGCAAGAGGGCATTCTGCAAAGTTGCTGTCGTACAGGGTTGGAACGCAAACGCAAGTGTGCAGTAAACCAGATTTGGGGCCAACAGTGCCCCAGCAACAACATAACCCACGGCCAAAGGTGAAATCACATGGCCTTGCGAGGAATCGGGCTCCCTCCTCTCTGGTTTCAGGGTGTGTCACCCGAGAACCGCCGCTGCAGAGTCACTGCAGCTCAGCAGCTCCTGCATTGAGCATCTGTCCCCTGGTGGTCAGTGCACATCATAGCGACCAGTCAGATGGTTGGACACTTAGCATATTAGCCTTTTATATACACACACATATATATATATATATATATATATATATATATATATATAGATAGATAGATTTATTTTTAGAGAGAGAAGAAAGGAGAGGGGAGAGAGATAAACATTGATGTGAGAGTGAAACATCAATTGGCTGCCTCCTGCATGCCCCCTACCAGGGAACAACTGCAACCTGGACATGTACTCTGACTGGGAATCAAACTGGCAACTTTTCAGTGTATGGGATGATGCCCAACCAACTGAGCCACACTGGCCAGGGCTGTTGGAACCTTATTTTAATTTGAGCAAAGAGGACATCTGCCTATTGCTATGCACTTATAACAGCACAGGAATAATTGCTTTAATGGGACTTGGCGAGGACACTGAGAATTCCCACAGGTCCTTTCTTTGGGCTCCCTCAGCTTTCTGCTTGTACCATTGAACACAGCAGGCTCTATCTTGTCTTATTGAAATATAAATGTTTTAGACACTAGCTGTGATCATGTCTCATTTATTTCAGAATCTCTTAGTGCTTGTCATAGTGATAGGAACCTAAGATGGAAGCATTTGATCAAAGGTTTTAAAATGGGACTTAACTGCCTCCTGTCATGACCATATTTGTCCTGCAGAAACTTCACAGACCAGCTGCGGAAAATTTCCAAGGATGCAGGGATGCCCATCCAGGGCCAGCCTTGCTTCTGCAAATATGCGCAGGGGGCAGACAGCGTGGAGCCCATGTTCCGGCATCTCAAGAACACGTACTCTGGACTACAGCTCATTATTGTCATCCTGCCAGGGAAGACGCCAGTGTATGGTACAGTTCTCTTGGAACCATGATAATGATGATAGCCCTCTTCTCATGATAGTTCCCTGGAAGCTCCAAGGCAGGATTCAGTGTGGATTCTTGGCTCTAGCCAGAGCTGAGCTGTTCCTTAATGTCACTGCTCCCCTTACAGGAGAAATACCGGCTTGTATGAGCCATTGAGTCATCCCAGGTCCTGCTTACCTGCTCACACTCCTTTCCAGTAACATTTATTGGAGTCCTCTGTGTGTTGGTCTTTATGCCAGGCTAGCTGGGCCAGATACAGAGATGGGTGGGTCCAGATTCCTGTTCTTAGAAGAGTATTGTCTGTTAGGATATAGTGCAGCACACCCAAGCAGAATGGGTGGTGGTTCTATTATTGCCTGGGAATTACTTGAAGTTTTGGAGAAGCTTTTTCTTTCTCCCTTTCTTCTCTTTTAAGAATAGGAATGATTATATACATCTTTGGCTCAGTACTTTTACTCCATTTTTTCTGTCTACTTCTTCTGCTTCAAATGAAGAGGTATCTCTCTTCTTACCTTACTCAACTTGTGTGTGCTTTTGTTTCTATGCCATTCTGCTACCTCTGGGACCTCATACCCTTTAAGCCTCCAACATCTTCAGATTTCCCATCGTAGAGCACTTTACCACAATCCACTATTTCATTTATCTTTTGTCATCCTATTTTCATAATCAAACTTTTTGTTGTTGTTAATCCTCACCT